CCCATTTTGATGCGGAGAGTCCGGAAGCGTGAAGGTCTGACGGATGCCCCGTGTGCGACAGTAGGCTCTCAGAAGGCCAGAGGAAAACTCTCCGCCTCTGTCTGAGTGCAGACGCAAAACAGGAAAGTACGAGCCAAAGCTCTGCCTGAGCTGGAGACGAGCTGCGCGGATCCAGTCGATCAGCACCTCAGTGACATCACCCTTGCTGCGCAAGGGGAAGACTGCGGTGTAACGCGAGTAGTCATCAGCAACTAGCAGGAAGTAGCGCTCGTGACCCTGTCCACGGACGCGGGCTGGGCCGCACACGTCCATGTGAAGCGTCTGCAACGGGGCCTCTGTCGGAGGAAACAGGGAGGAGTGAGGGGCAGCACGCTGGTGCCCCTCGACACAGGGGACACAGGTAGGGCCAGGGCCCTGAGGAAGGGGAGGGAGGGACCGGGGGAGACCAGAAACAAGAAGACGAGAGGCCATGCCTCTGAGCCGGAGCAGAGAGGGGTGACTAAGGCGGTGGTGCCAGAGGAGAGTCTCGTGAGACAGGAGACGACACGAACAGGGGGCAGACTCAGGACCAGACCTGGACGCAGCAGCGAACACCTGACCTGACGCAGCTACCCTACCAGACTCAGCAACTGGAGGAAAACGAATTCATGAAAGACTCCTTGTTCATGAAAGCGAATTCGAGGGGGACAAGATCCACGAGCTCGTCCGACGAGGCTTTACAGGGAGGTATGTCGAAGTCTAGGATATAGATCCCATTGATGGAGCGAGCTCGTCCGAGGTACTTGAATGCCTCAGGAGGATTGTCCGAGGGAGCGTAGGTGAGGATGAGATCGCGCGTGGCGAGGTCCGTGTGGATGATGACGCCGCAATCGCGGAGCTGTCCAGCGGAGAGCAAGTTGAAACGCAGGTTCGGGACGTAGAGTACGTCGTTGAACGAGATGTGCGTGTTGCTATCTCGTGCTTGCAGGACGACGAGTCCTTGTGAGTTTGCGCGCAGCTGCTCGTTGTTGGCGACGGTGACATAAGTTGCAGGGGCGCGACTTAGGTTAGAGACATATCGTATGGACCCCACCATGTGCTGGCCGCAGCAGCTGTCCAGGTACCAGGTGTTGTAATTGCTAGTGTTGTTGTGGCGCAGCAGCAGCACCAATCGTGGAGTTACCAGGGTGGTCTTGAAGTGCCTGTGGAAGTGAGGATCTTCGTCCTCCTTCCAGCCCACTGGTACGTAGTGCTGATTTTCGTGAGGCGGGCTTTCCCGCAGCGTGATTGGAAGGTTCCAGTCCTGCTCGTCTTCGTCGTACAGGTAGTAGTGATCCTCGGTGAAGGGATTATTCCATCCCTCTTCTGGTTCCAGTAGTCTTTCCTTGGACTTCGTTCTCCTCGTCAGGTTCAGTGGTGCGCCGGCGTCGTGTCGTCATATTTGCGATGACGTTCCTGGGAGCTCCTGACTGTGGTCCTTGATTTTCCTGGTGTTGCGCAGGAGGACGAGCTTGCTGATGCTGAGGTTGAGGGTGACGAGCGTCTTGTCGGCCGACCCAGTTGTTGTGGTGAGTGGAATTTGGGTGGCGGTAGTTGGATCGGGATTTGCATCGATCCGTTGAGTGTCCGAAGACTTTGCATATTTTGCAATAATGGCGCCTTGGTTGTCGTCGCTCTTCTCGGTTGTCCGTGTAGAAGGCGAGGCGCTCTCGGCGCGGCGCGGAGCTTGTTCCGCTTGAGTCCATATCCTGCTGTTCGGACAGGAGTGCGGCACATAGCGCGGCTTCTGAAATTGTTCCTCGCTGTCGGAGTAACGCCTTGCAGGGCTTCCACTCAGGCCCGAGTCCTTGAAGGACTATATTGACGAAAATCTCTTCTGAGATCGTACTCCCATGCTTCATGATCTGGTCACGGATGTTGCGACAGCGGTTAATATATGGATTTGCCTTCTCCCTGTGCCCCATCTTTATCTCCAGGAGTTACTGGAGAAGCCTGCTGGCGGTGACCGAATCCTTCGGCTGGTAAACTTCAACGAGGTGCTCCCAGTCTTCCATTGCTGGAGCGTCGCTCTCTTTGTAGGAGCGTATGTTGAGTTGTTCCGCAGGCGTCATGTTGCGTAGTAGTACACTGTAGGCCATGAGGGACTCACTGTAGTACTGAGCCCTGGCGACGTCGGTGTTTTCCGCCGGTTAAGGGTAAGAGCCGTTGAAATAATGGTAGATCTGCGCCGTTTGTAGGAGGAGCTCCAGCTCAAAACTCCATGTGTAAAAATCCTTGCCGTCGAACGCGGCAGTAGTCTTAATCTTTGAAAAGTCAGAGGTCCACTGGTGATCCTCGATTGATCCTAGGAAAGGGTTACAGGCACGGTTGCCTGGGGGGTTATGGGCGCATTGACCCGCTACTTAAACAAGCCCTTCTATCCCAGTGGTTAGTGACTGGGATTTTGACATGGTGTCAGAGTGGTCTCGGGTTCGAATCTCGGTGTATGCACATGTAGGCCGTTGCCGCTGTGCTCAGTCCTGGGCCTCCCAGTATGGGGGGGTGTCAGTAGATCTGCACTGAAGATGCCCGATTGATCCTACGGGGGGTTACAGACGCGTTTGCCTGGGGGGTTATGGGCGCACTCTGACCCGCTACTTACCAAAGCCCTTTTATCCCAATGGTCTAGTGGTTGGGATTCTGACATGAAACGCTGAGGAAGCGTGTTTGCGCAGAGTTGATAGCCTCATCACTTGGGCAGGGGGGAGTTTGTCAGAAAATTATAGCTTATGCATATTGTGTAGGCTTTAGTGGGGTAGCCCATAAGGGGTACAACCCAATTAGGGTTAGTACTTGTACCCAACTCATTCATAGTTCATTCATTCTCGTTCAAAAAGAAAAAAAAACAAACAAACAAAATCCTCGTGTACGTCGACGACTTGGTCTTTGCCACAGCTGACACTGCTGGACTCGCCTACGTGAAGTCCGAGCTGCAGAAGAGACACACGTGCACAGACCTGGGTGAACTGCGCAGCTACCTTGGCTTGCAGATCAACCGGGACAGAGCACGCCGCACCATTACCCTGACTCAGTCACACATGGTGCAACAGGTCCTTCAGCGCTTCGGCTTCACGTACTCCTCGCCTCAGGCCACTCCTCTGCCTACTCGCCACTCGCTCTCAGCTCTGCCTTCGGATGAGTCCGTAGAGTCGAGTGGCCCGTATCCAGAGCTTGTTGGCTGCCTCATGTACCTGATGACCTGCACACGACCTGACCTTGCATACCCTCTTAGCATTCTTGCACGCTATGTTGCTCCTGGGAGACACCGACCAGAGCACATGGCTGCAGCGAAGAGGGTGTTGCGCTACTTGTACAGTACGTCGGGCATGGGGCTAGTGCTTGGAGGGCGGAGTCCAGTGGTCCTCACTGGGCACACGGACGCTTCTTGGGCTGACGACCAGGCTACGCAGCGGTCGTCACAGGGTTACACCTTCAGTCTTGGTTCCGGCTCTGTTTCGTGGCGGTCTACTCGCTCGTCTTCTGTTTTCGGCTCCAGTTGTGAGGCTGAGATCTACGCCGGGGCCATGGCTGCACAGGAGCTTTGCTGGCTCACCTACCTGCTGACCGGCCTTGGAGAGCCGCCTCGTTCTCCTCCAGTCCTGTACGTAGACAACAAGGCCATGCTGGCCTTGTGTTGAGAGCAAAGACTGGAGCACAGAACAAAGCACATTGCTCTTCGCTACTTCCTTGCTCGTGAGCTACAGCAGCGTGGTCAGTTGCGGCTTGCGTACATGGCCTCTGAGGCCAACACTGCTGATGTCTTCACCAAGGCACTTGCACCTTGTGATCATCAGCGCTTCTGCACGCAGCTGGGTCTTGTGCCTATCTTGCCTCACTTGCTCACCTCTTGACCTTGCTTGTACTGTTGCATATATATACTCCTGCTCTTGCTTGTCTAGTCCTTTATATATATGTACTCCTGCATGTGAACTGGCCTTGTGGCCTTGCACTTGTGCTCAGAATGTGTGGTGACTTTGTGATCCACCCTGAGCTTGCTTTGCTTTGCTTTGCTTGACTGGTCTTGTGACCCCTTGTTCTCCCCCACTTTGCCTATGGGGGTGTGTCATAACATTATAGCTTATGCTGTTGTGTAGGCTATAGTGGGGTATCCCATAGGGGGACAACCCAATTAGGGTTTCATATTTGTACTCACTTCATTCATAGTTCATTCATTCTCGTTCTAGGATCTTACATCCGGATGGAAGACCGTGGGTTCGTCGAAGCCCTCACCCGCGTGAAATCAACCTTCACAAACTTGACGCCCACGGACTGTGCACCACCTGTCACACACCAACCGCAAGTCGAACGGAGCAAGTGGAAAAGGAGCAAGCGGCAATTCAGGAAGCAGAAAGCGCTGAGACACAACCAGCAGGCATGACTACAGAAGAACTGCCCGGGGGTTGACATGTCCGCACGGGGGTTGACATGTCCGCACGGGGGTTGACATGCGGGACACGCGGAGACTGCTGCCTTGGCTGTGCGCGCGGCAAAGGCGGCAGTCGGGGGGGAGAGCGCGGGGGCCACGAGGCGGAGGGCGCCATCGCAATGCACCGCGAATTCTCGCGCCGCTTCTTGCCTCACCCCCTCCCCGCTGCCCTTTCCCCTCCCTTCGTTTCCCCCCGTCGTCCCCTTTTCCATTCATCTTCCACCCTCCCCTTTCTGCCCCATTCCTCTCGCCCCTCTCCCCGCCCCCCACCCTCTCCCCTACCTCCCCTTCTCCGCTCCCCCCTCCCTTCCCCCTTCTCCCCTTCGTTTCCCCCCACTCCCCCTGCCCTCCCCCCCATCCTCCTCTCCGCGCACAGTACATGATGGTGGCGCGGCACCTCTCCAGCATCGAGCAGATCGTAGTGGCGCTCACAGAGAGGTAGGGCGCAGAGAGGTAGGGCGCAGAGAGGTAGGGCGCAGAGAGGTAGGGCGCAGAGAGGTAGGGCGCAGAGAGGTTCGGCACAGAGAGGTTCGGCACGGAGAGGTACGGCACAAAGATGTACGGCACAGAGAGGTACGGCACAGAGAGGTGCGGCACAGAGAGGTGCGGATCGCACCGCACCGCAGTCACGCACGTGCCAGCAGCGGTAGTGCCGTCCCTCTAAGTAACCAACCGCTACAATCACCCACTGCTTGCTACATCCCCATACCACATATCTTACCCCCACCCCCCACCACTCCCCACCCCTCCCCCGTCCTCCTCACAACCCAGCATAACGGAGCAGGCGGCCAACGAGGCACATGACATGCGCGTGCTGGTGGGCGCTTTGGAGAACCACACTCTCTCCGTCGCCACCGCCCTCACCGACCACGTCGCCCTGCAGACCGGTTAGTGCTGCACTGCACCGCACTGCACCCACCTAGTGGCGAGTGCTCTCTGATCAGTCAATAGTGAGACAATGCAGCACTACGTTGGTGCCCAGTCACTCAGAGATTCAGTCATTCAGTCATTCAGACAGTCGGACAGACATTGAATGAGTAAGTGAATCAGTCAGTCAGACAGTCAGTGAGTGAGTGAGTGAGTCAGACAGAGAGTGAGTGAATGAGCAAACGAGTGAGTGAGTCAGTTAGTCAGAGAGTCAGTCATTCAGACATTCAGCCAGTCAGTGCGTGAGTGAGTAAGTGAATCAGTCAGTCAGACAGTCAGTTCGTCAGTGATTAAGTGTGTGGGTGAGTCAGTCAATCAGTCAGTCAGTCAGTCAGTCAGTCAGTCAGACAGTGAGTGGGTGAGTGAGTCAGAACGTGAGCGAATGAGTGAGCGAGTGAGTGAGTGAGTTACTGCAGCCCTGCACACCGGTGGGTGGCATGCCTAGTTGTCACGCACGCATGCACTCCCTGCAGCGCTGCTGCTTGCCTGCAACACACGCTTGCTTGTTTATCGCCTGTCCGCCTTGTCGGGAGTTGGGACTCATTCCTCATAGGCCCGCCACCACGGCTGAGCCGCTTCCTCGAGTGACTTGTTTGTGATGCGAAGGCTCTCAAGAGTCACATGTGAGCATTCTCGAAACTGCCTCCACTGTACGTTCTGCCCAACTGTGCTTCCATGCAACGTGATGGACTGGCCAGCTCCACATCACGGGCCGGCCCGGGCCAGAGTGTGATAGCCCCGCCTTGCTTCCTGAAACAACCGGCTTTGCTGTACCCACGAGGCTGGGTTAGGGTGCCCTATGGCCGTGTGATAGGGGGAGCAGCGTGGAGCTTTGAGATGTGACACCATGCTTTTGCTTCATGCATGTGCTTGCTTGATTGTGTGTGTGCATATGTGTGTATCGTGTTTCTGTGTGTGCGTATGCGTGCATGCATGCATGTGTATCATATTTGGCTCTGTCTTTGAGTGTCTATCTGTCCCTGTACCTGTGTGTGTGTCTGTCTTTGAGTGTCTATCTGTCCCTGTACGTGTGCGTGTGTGTGTGTGTCTTTGAGTGTCTATCTGTCCCTGTACCTGTGTGTGTGTCTGTCTTTTCCGTGTCTGTGTCCTTATCTTGGTGCATGTTTGTATCCGTGTGTGTGCCGTATGTCCGTGCATGTGCGTGCGCACATGCGTGTGTGCGTGCATGCATCATCATTGCCAGGTCAGCTGCGCCAGCTGGCAACGGAGATCCGCAATCACAGCGCCACGGTGCAGACCCACGTGGCAACAGCCGTGGACGCCATTGGCGGAGGCGGGGAGGGCGGGAGGGGCGGCGGAGATGTGACAAAGGAGAAGCTGGCCGTGCTCATCTCCGCCTCCGCTCGCTCCCAGGTGTGGCCTCAAGGGGGGGAGGGGCAGGGAGAAGGGGGGAGGGCGGGAGAGGCGGCGGAGATGTGAGCAAGGAGAAGCTGGCCGTGCTCATCTCCGCGTCCGCTCGCTCCCAGGTGCTCTCCCAGGCGGGGACAAGCGAGGGAAGAGCGGGAGGGAAGGTCAGGGGCAGGGAAGATCAGGGGGGGCCAGGGGGGGAGCAAGGGGGGACAGGGGGAGGGCAGGGAGGGGCAGGGTGAGAGCAGGGGGAGAGCGGGGAGGATTCCCTTTCTATCCCCATCCCCTCGCCCACTTGTAAGCAGTGCTCCATCCAAATGGAGCAGGGCACATTCAATTCATCTCAACACAAGCCCCTGCCTCAACTCTTCAACAGGGCTGCATGCACGTGTGCCTTCACTTCAAGCTAAGGAAAGCTGCACAACTCTCGTGCTTGTAACCCACCCAACCCTCATCTCATTCCTCTCCCCTTCCCGATCCCCCTTCCCCCCCCCCTACTCCATTCCCCTCCCTCTCCCCCACGCCCCCTCCTCCATGCCTGCCCCCCTATATGCTGCTACTGGGCGTGCGTGCTGCGGCCACGCCCCCCCCCGGCAGCGCAAGACAGAGGCGTTTCTCTCCAGCTTGCTCACCTCAGTCAAGGCGCTCTCCAAGCAGATGGAGGTGGGTGCTGCGCGGTGCGTGCGGTCACATGCAATGCAAGTGGTTGAGTACAGCAGTGGAAGGGTTGTCACGCATCATCACATGGCATGCCAGTTGAACTGCACACATGCATGCATGCATGATGCTCTTCTGATCGCTTGCCAGATTTCTCGAACCTCAGCTCACATCAACCACACCCTATGTGTTGCTTGGCACGGCACGGCATGACATACACAGGAGCAGGGAGGGGCAGGAGGAGCAGGAGGGGCAGCGGGCAGCGGAGCGAGCTTGATGAGGGTGAGGGAGGCGGCCGCGGCTTCCAGGAAGCAGCTGCTGGCCCTCAAGACGCTGCAGGTGTGTGTGCTGTCATGCTCTTGCTGCTGCAGCAGCTGCTCCTTTGTACACTGCCCATCTCTCACAGTCACTTTCTGGTTTGAATATTGCCGCATGCGTGCATCTGGTGTGATGGGATGCGATGTGATGTGATATGGTTTGATGTGGTGTGTGATGGGATGTGATATGATGTGATGTGATGTGATGCGATGCGATGCGATGTGAGCATGTGAGCAGGAGTCAATGGAGGACCTCAAGTCAAGGCAGTCAACGACGGACTACTCCCCTCAGGTACTCCCCTCAGGTACTCCCACAGGTGCTTCCTCAGGTTCTTCCTCAGGTGCTTCCTCAGGTGCTCCCCTCAGGTGCTCCCCTCAGGTGCTCCCGCAGGTGCTTCCTCAGGTGCTCCTTGCAGGGTAGACATGACTCATGAGTGAAGGACCAAAGTGAGTAAAACTCGCCTTGTTGTTTGCAATACTCACTTGAGCACCGAGGCAAGTCGAGTAAGAGTTTGCCCTGCAGGTGCTTCCCTCAGGTGCTTCCCTCAGGTGCTTCCCTCAGGTGCTTCCCTCAGGTGCTTCCCTCAGGTGCTTCCCTCAGGTGCTTCCCTCAGGTGCTTCCCTCAGGTGCTTCCCTCACGTGCTTCCCTCAGGTGCTTCCCTCAGGTGCTTCCCTCAGGTGCTTCCCTCAAGTGCCCCCCTCAGGTGTTTCCCTTGGGTGCTTCCGTCAGGGCAGGGTTGTTGAGGTGTGGCTGCTGGGCGCAGTGGTTCCGTCAAGGCGGGCCAAGGGAAGGACACGCATGCTGGCAGTGCTCAAGGCGCTGGTGGCACACATCAAGGCTGCCACGACCAACGCAAGCCCGAGTCTGCAACTGCCCAGGGCGGCTGGACTGGGGCGCACACGTGCCTCCTCACTCTCCTCTTCCCCATCCCTCTCCCCTCCATCCCACATCCCCCCCTCTCTTCTCAGGCAGCTCATCTGCATTCTGGCGGTGCTCAAGGCGTTGGTGGCATGGCGCACATAAAGGCCACCAGGGCCAACGGTGGGCCGAGAGGCATGTCACATGTGTGCCTCCTCACAGTCCTGTAACCCACTCGCCCCCTCATGTCTCTCCCAACCTCCCTCCCCCCCCTTCACCATTCCCTCAGCTCATCCGCATTCTCGGGGTGCTCAAGGCGCTGGTGGCGCATATCAAGGCTGCCATGGCTAATGGCGGGCTGGGCCTGGGGCTGGGCGAGCAGCTGCCACAGCTGCCGTCGCTCGACATGGATGTGAGTCACCTAGAGGCGATGCCAGTGAGGGGGTCAATAGGGGGTCAACTGGGCGTCAATGGGGGTCAACTGAAGTCGATGGGGGTCAACACGAGTCAACGAGGGTCATCACGAGGCAATGAGGGTCAATGAGGTAAATGGGGGTCAATGCGAGTCAATGGGGGTGTCAATGGGAGTCAAGATAAGTCATCGCAAGAGCCATTTCAGTGCCGCTTTTGAGTCCGCTTGTAACTCATCTCTCTCCCCCGTACTTTCCTCCTTCCCCCGCTCTCCCCCATTTTTCCCTCTTCGCCACGTCTTTCCCCCCTTCTCCCCCCCCTCTTTCCCCCAACACAGCTGCAGCCACAGGCACAGGTGTCAGCGCAGCAGGCGCAGCAGATGGAGCGGCTGCTGCAGCAGGTGCTGGCGGAGGTGCGCAACGGAACGCAGCTCACGCTGCTCCTCCGCGCCGTCTCCACGCAGACCACCATCCTCTCGCGCCTAGCCAAGCGCTTCTCCTCGCTCCAATCAGCCGCCTTCTCCGCCACCACTGCTGCCGCCACACCCCCGCCTGCTGGCCCTGACTCTGCTGCGGGCGGTGGTGGTGTGGCGGTGAAGTCCTGCAGGGGCTGGTGGCAATGGTGCTGCAGAACTCACAGAAGCACATGGCGGCGCTGCGGGACGTCAAGCGCATGCTCACGGGGGAGGAGGCGGATGGCAAGGGGGGGTACTCGGTGCCGGTGAGGACGCTGGCCGTGGTGCAGAAGAGCGCGCGCGCGCTGCAGCAGATGCCCGCGCTGCTCATGCAGTTGGACCGCCGGCTGCAGGGCGTGGGTGGCGGGGCCGGTGGAGGTGTGGCTAGGGGGGAAGGGGGAGGAGGAGGAGCGAGGGCGGAAGGGGTGGTGCTAGGTGGAGGAGCAGGCACAGGCATGTGGCAGCAGCAGCAGGGGCAGGTGGTATTGGCGATGGAACCCCCGAAGCTAAGTGGCAGGGCAGCGCGGCACGAGCGGCTGAAATAGCTGATGGCGAAGGAGGCTGCTGCCCGCGCCGCCAAGCAGAAAGAGGAAGAGGCGGCTGCAGCAGGGAAGGCGGCGGCGGCGGCGGCAGGGGGCACGCAAGGAGAGGGAGCAGGCGGGCAGAAGGAGGAGGGCCAAGAGCAGCGCACGGTGGAAGGGGCAGGGCAGCAGCAGCAGCAGCAGGGAGGAGTGGCGGCAGGTATGGGCGCGGCAGGAGGGGCAGGCGCTGGGGGGGGTGGCGGAGATGACAGGGGTGGGGGCGAGCAGGGGCGAGTGGTGACGCAGCAAGGAGAGGGAGGACGTAAGGGGAGGGGTGGCGGATTGATTGGAGGCGAGCAGGCTGGAGGGAGTGCAGAGAAGAATATTGGTGGGCGCGACGGGGAGACGAGGGCAGGTAGCGATGGTGCTGCGGGTGCTGGTAGCAGTAACGACGCTGGTGATGGCTCCGCTGGTTCTGCCGCTGCCGCTGATGGTTTGGAGAGAGGGCTGGGCAGGGGAGAGGGGCGAGCAGGAGGTGGGGATGCTGGAGGGGCGGAGCAAGAGGGAGGAGAGGGGAGAAGGGATGGGGGGGGAGAGAGGGGGGATGGGGAAGATGGCGGGGATAGGGAGGGGGGGAGAGCACAGAGAGCGGCTGGCAAAGGAGATGGAGGAAGGGAGGAGGGAAAGGCAGGAGCAGGTGGAGGAGAGGGGAAAGCAGCATCAGGAGGTGAGGAAGGAGAGGGAGAAGAGGGGGCAGGGGAAGGAGGGGGTGAAGGGGGCGCAAGGGGAGGAGGGGGAGGAGGGGGAGCAGGGGGAGTGGTGCCGATAGAGTGGGCGAAGCCGGAGGAGATGGACAGCGAGCGGGCGGACCTGGTGTCGATGCTCAAGGCGCGCAGGGACGAGGCGAGCGAGCGCGGCAGCGATGACAGCGGCGTGAAGAGTGGCGGCGGCAGTGAGACACTCAAGCACCGGCAGAAGCGGAAGAAGCACAAGGGTGGGGACGGGCGCAGTGCGGTGGGAGGCAGTGGGAAGGGAGAGGGGGAGATGAGCGAGGAGGAGAGGGCCATGGCTGAGGCGAGGATGGCGGTGAGTAGAGAGAGAGGGGAGGATGAGGAGGAGGAGGAAGAGGAGGAGGGGGAGGGGGAAGGGGAGGAGGGAGAGGAGGAGGTGGAAGAAGGGGAGGAGGAGGGTGGGGAGGACGAGGAGAAGGGTGGGGGGAAGGGAAAAGGCGAGGGTGGGGTAAAGAGTGGGGTTGGACACAAGAGGAGGGTGGCTAGAAGTGAACGTGGGGAGGCAGGGAGTGGAAACCTGAAGGAGAGAGGGGGGAGGAGAGGAGGGGAGGGAGAGAGCAAGAGGAGGCTAGGAGAGGAAGATGGTGCGAGGGGGGCACAGGGGGGAGGGGCACGAGGAGGAGGGGGAGGAGGAGGAGTGGGGGTAGGGGAAGGAGGAGGAGGGGAGAGTGCAATGGGAAGGCAGGGCAGAAGGAAGCGCATTCCAATGGAGCAGGCGGAGGAGTAGCAGAGTGTGGGTGCACGCACAGGGCTGCGGCTGAAGAGCATGGGGATCGAGGAGCTGCTGAGCCTCGAGGATGAGGCGGACGACGAGGAGGAGGGCGGAGGGGGAGGAGGAGGGGGCGGAGGAGGAGGAGGGGGGCCGGGAGGGGGTACAGTGGGGGGAATGGGAGGGGAAGGGGGTGTAGAGGTGGCTGGGGAGGGGGGGAGGAGCAGTGGCTGGGGGGGAGGGCGAGAAGGCAAGCAGGGGCGGGGGATAAGGATGGGAGTGAGGGGGATCGAAGGGGGAGTGGGGGCAGCAGCGAGGGTGGGCAAGGCGGTGCTGGATGACGTGGAGGGCGAGGAGGCGTGGAGGGAGCCGTTGCCCACACAGGGGTACATTCCCCAAGGGCCGTTTGCCAGTGAGTGCTGCGGCTCGCTCCATCCTCTCATCCCTCCTCTCCTCCCATCCCTCCTCCCCTCCGTTCCCCTCATCCCTCTCTCTCACTCGCATGCTCCCACTCACAACTGTTACGATATGAATCACGGAATGAATGACTAGAAACATTGAGTACAAGGAAACATATAGCAAACCCTAAAGGGATTGTACCTTGTACGGAGTAGCCCATTGTAACACGTAGACTAAACTATCAAACAATAACAATTATAGTTTATCTAGGTGACGGCAGTCATGTGAAAAGCAACACATATCCCAGGGTAGATTACGAAGTCACCACACTGTCTGAGAGCAGGCAATCGTCATAGGACCAGTCAACAAGAACAAGCAATGATCACAAGACCAATCCACAAGAACAAAAAACCAACAAAAGATGCAACTCATGATAGATATCAAAATCACCATACAATTCAAGCGCAAAAAAGGGGCCACGAGGTTAGTCCACAAGCAGATATATAGCCCGCGTGAGTATCTGCTCGTTCTCTATCCTCTGGGGGTGCTCTTGTCTTTTCCTTGGAGGTTCTGGAGGACACAAAGTTCGAGCTTGGTTTCCTTGCGGCCGCTGTTCCTTATCTCTGCGTCACGCTACTTGCCTTTGAGGGGGATCCAGACACCCTTGACATCCCGATCTCTCGCATTCACACCGGGGCGGTTTCGGGACCTTGGGCCTTGCACTAGATAGCAGCTGAGGAGGTAGAGATGACATCTTATAGGTCCACAGGCACCTATGTCGACGTCACCCCACCACTTGGGGCAAACGTCGTCAGTGGCATGTGGCTCTACAAAAAGCGGCCGCCTGGAGCACTACCGGTGTTCAAGGCACGCTACGTGGCGAGAGAATTCTGTTAGCGAGAGGGGGTAGACTTCTTCCAGACCTCCCCCTAAGCGGGATCGAGCGGGGCGCGGGGTGGTGGGCCCAATGAATCGATCGATGATCTGATATCATGCTACAAAATAAACTACGGAACGAATGGCTAGAAATATGGAGTATAGAAAAATTTAAAGGGGTTGTACCCTGTAGGGAGTAACCCATTGTAACACCTAGACCAAACTAACAAACCATAACAATTATTGTTTGACAACAACATAGGTCCTTGCGTTGCTCCTAACCAGAGACGAACTTGTCCGCACCTCCCGTTGCTGCTCTCCGATGGTGCCCACTACCGGCTTACCATCCTCCCTTGTCTGCTTTCCCTGCCTCCTTCTTGCCCTCCCATGGCTGTCTTTCGTCTTACGAACTTCCCCTGCCCTCCCTTGCCTTCTACCCTCCCTTGCCTTTTGCCCTCCCGTGCCTCCTTCCCACACCTTTCCATACTCATTCCTTCCCGTGCGTGCCATGCCTCCTTTCCTCCTTTTCCCCCGTGCCTATGGGCCATTAGACGCATCAGCGTGGAGGCAGAGAGTTCTAGCAGGGAACTCCGTCTTCACCCGATTCAGGTATAAATTAGGATAGGAATGACACTTCCCTGGTGTTTTCGGGGTGCAATTGAATACCACCCGTCCATGAAGCTGTGCAGAGAGTTCTTCTCATCCCATGCCGGACGCCCCCTGCCTCGTGCCCCATGCCCCATCTCACACGCCCCCTGACGCATGCCCCATGCCCCATGCCCTATGCCCCATGCCCTATCCCTCATGGCCCATGCCCTAGGCCCCATGCCCCATGCCCCATGCCCCTTGCCCTCTACCCCATGCCCCCTGCCCTTTGCCCCATGCCCCCTGCCCTCATGCCCGCGTGGCCCTCTTCCCTCCCCCAACCCCAGTGGCTACCGCGTAGGCCCGCGCAGGCTGGTGGGCGTGGGGGTGGTGCTGCGTGCCATGAAGGGACGTCTGGTCGCCACACACTGCAGGTGAGGGCGCACAAGAGGAGGGCGCACAGGGTGAGGGCGTGTTAGTACCTGCACTGCACCCTCCTCTCTTCTCCTCGCCCTCCTTTCTTCGCTCTTGCTCTGCCAGCCACTGCCAGCACATGCCAACCAGCACGCTCAAGGACCTTCTTGTAGGGTTGAGCAAAAAAACGAACACCTGGTCTTCGAGGCGTACCGAACAAGTTTGTTTTAATTGCTTAAAGTGTTCGCCAAACCGTGTCCGAGGTTCGCCCGAACACGTTCGTGTTCGGGCCGCTGCTGCAATTTGCCCCGCGACGAACACGAACGTGTTCGAGGTTCGCCCGAACACGCCTTCACAGGCGAACACCTGTTTTTGCTAAAAGTGTTCGCTGAGGTTCGGCAAACGGTTGTGTTCGTGTAGGGGCGAACACGAACCTTCTTGTCACCCTGCCCCAGGGTTCAACCGTAAGCCCTATAACCGTAAGCCCTATAACTGTAAGCCCTATAACCGTAAGCCCTTCTTCTCGGGTGGTTTAGCCTGGCGCTATTCGTTTTGGAATCGTATTGAACGTGTCGCACTCGCTGGTAAACCCACTTTCCCCCACCACTCGCCCATCCCTCTCCCGCTTCCCTTCCCCCTCTCAGATGGTTTGGCCCGGCGCTGCTGGCACTGGACTGCACGGTGAACGTGTCGTACTCGCTGGGGCAGTAGGGGTCCGCCTCGCAGCACACAGAGGCCGTTATTGAGGCCGCCTTTAGCGAGGACGTGCCCAACACAGGGGGCTTCCTGGCTGTGCGCGTTGAAGGGAACGACTTTGTGCTTTACAGGTGAGAGTGTGAGACAGCGGTGGATGAGACAGTGGTGGGTGTGGCAATGGTGGGTGGGATAATGGTGACCCCAGGAGTGGAGAAAGAGAGGTGGTGCTTGAGTTTCACTGGCTACTGGAAGGCCTTGCACACGTGCCCTTCACCCCTATCGTCTCATCCTCCCGGGAGTTCCCGTTTCCCAGTTCCCCGTTTCTTCTCACTTCACCCATACCACCCCTCCTCTCCACCCCCACCTCACCACCTCCAACACCTCCTTCTGTGAGAGTACGACGATTCATGCTGGCTTTGCTAGTTTGCCTGGACTTTACTATGATATTACTAGCTTAGGTTTTATTTATCATGCATAGATACACTTGATTTTCTAAGTTAGGCGCATTCCTATATTCTATTATAGTTATAGCACCGAACCAGGTTACGTCTACCGGACAGGTTCTGAACAGGTTGCCAAGTTTAGGAAGGTTCTGTTCGGGAGGCTGGGTTACCTGCCTTGTGTCGAGACTATATATAGTCTCGTGTTGTACATTTGCGTAACACCTGGGTTACCTGCCTTGTGTCGAGACTATATATAGTCTCGTGTTGTACACATGACAATGAATCATTTTACAACCCACTTTTTTGAACTCGATTCTCGATCCTCACATCTTCTCTCTCCAATACCTCCCTCCCCTCTACTCGCCCTGCCCGCTCCACCCCACGCCTTCCCTTCCCCCGCTTCACGCCCCACCAGGGAAGCCCCTCTCACCTTCCCCACCACGGCCCCAGGTCTCCCCTTCCCCTTCCACTCGGTGCTGTGCCTCCTCCCATCGGCGCGCAATGCATCAGTGCCAGTGCATCTGCTGCGAGAGGCGGTGGAGTACTATCCGCTGCAGGGCGCCGCCGTGGTGGCGCTGTACGACAGCGGCGGGTGGCTCGCCGTGGAGCTGCAGGAGCGCTTCCATGGGGACTTTGAGCGCATGGTCGTGCGCCGCACAGACTTCATGGGCGTGAAGCAGTTTGACCTTGAGAGGAACGGGCAGGTGCGCGCAGCAACGCTTGCGCGTGTTTTTGCATGCATACGCACATACACAGTGTGCTTCCCTCTGCGTCTTTTCCCTTTCCAGGTGTTGGCAATGCATGTCTCTGTGCACCACCACACCTTTACGGCCCTTCCCCCTTCCACTCCTTTCGTTGCCACCCCGTTCCATCCCCTTTACCTGCCACCCCCACCACCCTTCAAACCCCCCCCACCCCCCTCTCCCCTCCACCAGGTGCTAGCAATGCACGATTGTGTGCACCGCCACGCCTTCACGGCGCGCTGGGTCATCCCTGCGGCCATCAACGAGTTCCTCTTCGTCGGCCTGCCGCCCGCCTCCATTCCCTCCTTCCTTGACCCCTTCGCCTACCCCGCCACCTCTTCCTCCGAGACCTCCCTCTCAGACCCCCTCGTTGATTCCGCCGCCACTGCCGCCGCCGCTGCGGTAACTGCATCTGGAGGTTCGGCAGCCGCGGCCGCCGAAGCTGCGGCGTACGTTCGGGCGGTGCCGTGGGTGAGCGTGGGCAGCCAGTGGTGGTCGACGCGACTGTGCGCGCTGCCGTTCCGCGTGCTTGAGGGCGAGGCGTTCTCGATGGAGCGCATGGTGTTCCGCTGGCCGTGCCCCGTCTGCCACGACCGCATCCGCTTTCCCGACCCCCACCTCTGTCCCGGGGAGGCTGGCTTCCGCCGCCTCATCATGGATCCACGCAAGGTGCGATGGGGTGGGGGGAAGGTGAGGGGGGAGGGGGAGTAGTGAATTGGTGAATGGTAGGGCAGAGGGTGCAAAAAGTACACATGTAGGTGGAGGGGCAGCGGGGTACGCAGGAGAGCAAGATAGTTGCGGCTACACCGCCCTTCGCTCAAACTACTCTCACGTCGTCGGTGTTTTATCAAAACGAGTGATTCAACTTGCCAATTCCAGACGACATCAAGGCGCTTTAGATCCAGTTTATAGCACATCATCAATGTTTGATGCATGTTTGTAGAAATCTGTCTGTGGACTCTATCCTTCGTTTTAGGCACATTTGAGCCTATTGTGACTATAACAAACGTAAGCGGAACTGATGTCACTATCGCGTCAATGTGAAAACGACCACTGAAACGTGGACGGAACCGGGACGGCAGATAAGAATGCCCAGGTTACGAGTGTCCAAAACAATCCGTCCTTGACTCCAATCATGCGGTCACGTCGATGGCGATCAGCATGATGTTTATGAAAGTTAAGAATCGTAATGAGCCGTCTCCCTTAACTACTGCATCGTGGTGATGAAGTCATGAGTGGTTTGGACGTGGGCAAGTGCGGTTGGCTGTTGTGGTGTAACGGGGTCACGTCCATACCACAGGAAGAAGTGATTTTTTTTCCTGTGGCCTCGTGTATAGTGTTGTTGTAGACGAACTCGAGTGTTGATTACTAGTTCCGTCTAGCTGTCTGTCTGGGGATGGTATGTTGAAGACTATGGTAGCTTAATCCTCAACAATCCCATGAGTTTCCACTAGAACTGATCAGTGAACTGGGGTTTCTGTTTGAGATGAGTATCATGGGAATGTCGTGGTTGGTGTCGCTGTGTAGAGTTTGTTGATGGACCAGTATGGATGAGCAAGGGGCGAACAAGAACTTGTTCGTGTTCGCCCCTGCACGACACCCGTTCGTCGAACCGAACAGCAAAAACATATGGACCAGAGCTCGATGGAAGAGGTATCACCACCATGGGGAAGGAGGACGAGGACAGGGGAGGGAACGGTACCTTTGTGTTCCGCGTGGATCGCGAGAGGCGCTACCATGTGAGAAAAGCGGAAGCATGAAGAAGTGATACCTGGATTGAAAACCGCGGGGGTATACAATGTAAGAGAGCAACCGACCCGGCCCGCCCCGTCCTGACCCGATTTGGGCGGGCCAAGCGGGCAGTGGGTCGGGTCAGGTCAGGTCTTAACGGGCCGAGGTTTGCATAAACTTGGCCTGAAACGGCCTTGAAGGATAGGGTCGGGTACGAACGCTTTTGACCGATATTAAGCTCAAATCGGCGATTTTGCCCGCCGATTTTTGCAGATCGGCGATTTCGCTGGCTGATCTGCGGAGGTCGGAATTTTGCCTGCAATCACTCAGCCTAGGCACTCCCTCGTCCCCAACAAACGAGTTGGAACAGACATTCCCAACCAGTTCGCCACAGCTCACCACTCAACACCTCAGTGAACCTACAAGACCCAACCCCCACCACAGACCTGTCATTGAGCTCAGCCCAGCCCCAGTGGCCCATAGCACATTTCTGTAGCTAGGGCTCCCTAGTACCCGACCTGATTTACAGCATTTTGACCCAATTCCCGGTCGGGTCACTATTGGGTCAAGACCCGACCCGACCAGGTTTGATTTTAGGAATCGGGCCATGGGTCAACCCGACCCAGCCGGGTCAGCATTTTGAAAGTCTGGGCCAACTGGACAAAAGCCGGGTCCCATGCTCACCCATCCGCATCCACGCCACCTTCTCCCTTCCTTCTCTTCCCTATTCCTCCGTTCCCTGCTCACCCCTGCCCCCACACCTCCCCCTCTCTCCATGACACACAGATTTCAGCACTGGGACTGCACGAGGCGGAGTCAGCATCGCGGGTGAGGGGGGTGCACGTGAGGAGCACAAAGGCCAACTTCAACCACCTGCAGGACGCTGTCATGGACCCCACCTCGTGGTGCGAGCACACGCTGCTCAAGAACGAGGTGCATCACTGCAGTGCCCAATTCTGTTGCTGTGTGCAAGGCTGGTAACTGGGGCTGGCATGTGGGGGACAGCTCACCTGCAGGACGCTGTCATGGACCCCACCTCGTGGTGCGAGCACACGCTGCTCAAGACCGAGGTGAGTCACCCCATAGCACTACCGGGTATGTGCGGGGATAACCAGATGCTTTCAACCCAATCCTGCAATTCCTATCCCGATCATTTGCAAGGAACTTGCAAGAAGGCAGCTCAGTCCGCCCCTCCTTCATCGCGCTGCTTACTCTCCTGTTTGCCTGCCTGTGTGGTGCTCTGCTCCCATGCTCTGGCTTGGCCTGGTGTGGAATTCTGTTGTGTGGCAGGGCACGGCACGGCATGCTATGGCACGGTATGGCATGGCATGACATGGCACGGCACGGCACGGCACGACATGGCACGGTACGGCACGGCGCGGCGTGGCGTGGCGTGGGGTGGCGTGGCGTGGCATGGCATGGCACGGCATGGCATGGCATGGCACGGCATGGCATGGCATGGACAGGTGCCAGAGTTCTATGTGCGAGACGTCTATCTGCGGGAGGCAGCCCAGTCGGTGCGGGCGGGGCGAGTCTGCGACTTCACCAGAGGCCGAGTCAGTCCCTCCTAGCCCTGCTCCCCCTCCTGCTCTCCCTCCCTGCTCTCCCTCCTTGTGCTGTACTCCTTGTTGGACTTTTCGTGATTTCTTGTATGTCGTCTCGCTGCACCGCCGCACTCTGCATGCCCAATGCCTTCCACCTCCTTGCCTGCTTAGATTGCCCACCATATGTCAGCACAGGGGACATAGCAGCACACAGGGGGCATGGCAGCACACATGGGGGCATGGGAGCACTCATTGGTTACAGTCACACATACATATCCATGGGTCACGTGTTCATCCCTCCCAACCCTCTCTTGTGGTGCATGCATTGCCATGTGCCCCCCTACAGTGTGTCCCTAGGCCAGACTAGATCTCTCTGCAAATCCACAACGCAAGGCACGGTGTGGAACGCTGCTAAGAACCACGACGCTTCTCCGACTTGCTTTTGAGAACTCTCAACAACGCTGCTTCCTTTGACCCAACTGGGCAGCACTCTCGTGGGTGGCAAGGAGGTGGCACCATGGGGTGCATCGGACCAGATTGGTTGAGGATAGCAAGTGCTGGAGCAGCACACATGCACTCTAGGTGCTTCAGTGAAAGGTTGTTAGAAGTCAGTGGATCACAAGCCTGTTGATTGGACTGGACAGCGATAAATACTAAGGTGCATCAATACCCCGTTTACCACGCCCTTTCTTACCAGACCTGTCCTGAATGTGTATGGGCATTTCCAAAACATTTCCAGCTTGAATGAAGTTACTATGGAGCGTGCTTAAAATAGCACGCCCCCTAAAAGAACGCATTTTATTATGGCGGTACTACCATCTCAAAATAGAAACATTGGAATGATTTCACAAGCAAGGAGCAGTACAATTACCAACCCTAGAGATGGGTTGTGCTCCCTATAATGTTACTCACTGTAGCCTAACAAGCTAATTTAACATCTGACAATATATAATCGTGGACCCCAGAGTAATTGTAGGGGATTTAAAAATATCTAATATATCTGCTGGCCTGCAAATGCCTATACACACCAACAGTACCCAAACCCACTTAGTCTGGCAATCCGACATTTGAGAACCATCTGTCGTGGAGAGTATGTTTGAGGTAAAATCTGTGGTTGCTAATGTCCAGCTCAAACGAATGGCCTCCCCCGCATAGGATGGACCCAGCTAGAAACACGTGGGCGTGTGCGCACAACAGCTTGTCCAATATGGCCACTATGCCTGTGCGAGGGTTGAAAGAATGAGGGGATGAAAGTGAGTGGTAGAACGCAATAGAAGAAGAGGCGTGTAAGAAAGGGCGAGGGTTGGCATGGCAAATAGGAGCAACTGAGAGCACTTTGCTGGAACAATCTGGGAGAAAGGAGAAGGGGTGTAGGACAAAGTTCCTGCCAGGTACAGATTGCCACCTGAACAGCCACCCAAGAAGGCACCCACTCAGGCAACGTGCACTGACCGGGGTCGTACTTGTTGACGGCGGGCATGAGCTCGTCCACCATCACTGTGCCCGCCACCTGCTCCCTCAGCCACCGCAGCTTCTCCCGCGGGGCCTGCAGCGCCCTCTCTTTCTCCGCCCCTTGGAACTTCCACGTGGTCTCGTTCCACGAGTCCGACCGCACCACGCTGCCTGCCTTGCCGTCAAACGGCACGTCGGCGGCGATGAAGACGGCGGAGATGTTGTGGCGGCGCTTCATGCCGTTGATCAGGTCGCGCGCCGCCTCCATGCACCCCGCCATCAGCCCCTCCAGCACACCTGCCTCCAATTTGTAGCCGACTTTTGCTAGCCTGTGCCCCTACAAGGTGGGTGAGGTGGGATTAGGGACGCAGCAAGAAGCGAATGAGCTTACCAGGTTGAAAGCAGTGAGCTTACCAGGTTGAAAGCAATGAGCTTACCAGGTTGAAAGCAGTGAGCTTACCAGGTTGAAAGCAATGAGCTTACCAGGTTGAAAGCAGTGAGCTTACCAGGTTGAAAGCAATGAGCTTACCAGGTTGAAAGCAATGAGCTTACCAGGTTGAAAGCAGTGAGCTTACCAGGTTGAAAGCAATGAGCTTACCAGGTTGAAAGCAGTGAGCTTACTAGGTTGAAAGCAATGAGCTTACCAGGTTGAAAGCAATGAGCTTACCAGGTTGAAAGAAGTGAGCTTACCAGGTTGAAAGCAATGAGCTTACCAGGTTGAAAGCAATGAGCTTACCAGGTTGAAAGCAGTGAGCTTACCAGGTTGAAAGCAGTGAGCTTACCAGGTTGAAAGCAATGAGCTTACCAGGTTGAAAGCAATGAGCTTACCAGGTTGAAAGCAATGAGCTTACCAGGTTGAAAGCAATGAGCTTACCAGGTTGAAAGCAGTGAGCTTACCAGGTTGAAAGCAATGAGCTTACCAGGTTGAAAGCAATGAGCTTACCAGGTTGAAAGCAGTGAGCTTACCAGGTTGAAAGCAGTGAGCTTACCAGGTTGAAAGCAGTGAGCTTACCAGGTTGAAAGCAATGAGCTTACAAGGCTGAAAGCAGTGAGCTTACCAGGTTGAAAGCAATGAGCTTACCAGGTTGAAAGCAGTGAGCTTACCAGGTTGAAAGCAATGAGCTTACCAGGTTGAAAGCAATGAGCTTACCAGGTTGAAAGCAGTGAGCTTACCAGGTTGAAAGCAATGAGCTTACCAGGTTGAAAGCAATGAGCTTACCAGGTTGAAAGCAGTGAGCTTACCAGGTTGAAAGCAGTGAGCTTACCAGGTTGAAAGCAATGAGCTTACCAGGTTGAAAGCAATGAGCTTACCAGGTTGAAAGCAATGAGCTTACCAGGTTGAAAGCAATGAGCTTACCAGGTTGAAAGCAGTGAGCTTACCAGGTTGAAAGCAATGAGCTTACCAGGTTGAAAGCAATGAGCTTACCAGGTTGAAAGCAGTGAGCTTACAAGGTTGAAAGCAATGAGCTTACCAGGTTGAAAGCAGTGAGCTTACCAGGTTGAAAGCAATGAGCTTACCAGGTTGAAAGCAATGAGCTTACCAGGTTGAAAGCAGTGAGCTTACCAGGTTGAAAGCAATGAGCTTACCAGGTTGAAAGCAATGAGCTTACCAGGTTGAAATCAGTGAGCTTACCAGGTTGAAAGCAATGAGCTTACCAGGTTGAAAGCAGTGAGCTTACCAGGTTGAAAGCAGTGAGCTTACCAGGTTGAAAGCAATGAGCTTACCAGGTTGAAAGCAATGAGCTTACCAGGTTGAAAGCAATGAGCTTACCAGGTTGAAAGCAATGAGCTTACCAGGTTGAAAGCGCTTACCAGGTTGAAAGCAATGAGCTTACCAGGTTGAAAGCAATGAGCTTACCAGGTTGAAAGCAATGAGCCTACCAGGTTGAAAGCAGTGAGCTTACCAGGTTGAAAGCAATGAGCTTACCAGGTTGAAAGCAATGAGCTTACCAGGTTGAAAGCAGTGAGCTTACCAGGTTGAAAGCAATGAGCTTACCAGGTTGAAAGCAGTGAGCTTACCAGGTTGAAAGCAATGAGCTTACCAGGTTGAAAGCAATGAGCTTACCAGGTTGAAAGCAGTGAGCTTACCAGGTTGAAAGCAGTGAGCTTACCAGGTTGAAAGCAATGAGCTTACCAGGTTGAAAGCAATGAGCTTACCAGGTTGAAAGCAATGAGCTTACCAGGTTGAAAGCAATGAGCTTACCAGGTTGAAAGCAGTGAGCTTACCAGGTTGAAAGCAATGAGCTTACCAGGTTGAAAGCAATGAGCTTACCAGGTTGAAAGCAGTGAGCTTACCAGGTTGAAAGCAGTGAGCTTACCAGGTTGAAAGCAGTGAGCTTACCAGGTTGAAAGCAATGAGCTTACCAGGCTGAAAGCAGTGAGCTTACCAGGTTGAAAGCAATGAGCTTACCAGGTTGAAAGCAGTGAGCTTACCAGGTTGAAAGCAATGAGCTTACCAGGTTGAAAGCAATGAGCTTACCAGGTTGAAAGCAGTGAGCTTACCAGGTTGAAAGCAATGAGCTTACCAGGTTGAAAGCAATGAGCTTACCAGGTTGAAAGCAGTGAGCTTACCAGGTTGAAAGCAGTGAGCTTACCAGGTTGAAAGCAATGAGCTTACCAGGTTGAAAGCAATGAGCTTACCAGGTTGAAAGCAATGAGCTTACCAGGTTGAAAGCAATGAGCTTACCAGGTTGAAAGCAGTGAGCTTACCAGGTTGAAAGCAATGAGCTTACCAGGTTGAAAGCAATGAGCTTACCAGGTTGAAAGCAGTGAGCTTACCAGGTTGAAAGCAATGAGCTTACCAGGTTGAAAGCAGTGAGCTTACCAGGTTGAAAGCAATGAGCTTACCAGGTTGAAAGCAATGAGCTTACCAGGTTGAAAGCAGTGAGCTTACCAGGTTGAAAGCAATGAGCTTACCAGGTTGAAAGCAATGAGCTTACCAGGTTGAAAGCAGTGAGCTTACCAGGTTGAAAGCAATGAGCTTACCAGGTTGAAAGCAGTGAGCTTACCAGGTTGAAAGCAGTGAGCTTACCAGGTTGAAAGCAATGAGCTTACCAGGTTGCAAGCAATGAGCTTACCAGGTTGAAAGCAATGAGCTTACCAGGTTGAAAGCAATGAGCTTACCAGGTTGAAAGCGCTTACCAGGTTGAAAGCAATGAGCTTACCAGGTTGAAAGCAATGAGCTTACCAGGTTGAAAGCAATGAGCCTACCAGGTTGAAAGCAGTGAGCTTACCAGGTTGAAAGCAATGAGCTTACCAGGTTGAAAGCAATGAGCTTACCAGGTTGAAAGCAGTGAGCTTACCAGGTTGAAAGCAATGAGCTTACCAGGTTGAAAGCAGTGAGCTTACCAGGTTGAAAGCAATGAGCTTACCAGGTTGAAAGCAATGAGCTTACCAGGTTGAAAGCAGTGAGCTTACCAGGTTGAAAGCAATGAGCTTACCAGGTTGAAAGCAATGAGCTTACCAGGTTGAAAGAAGTGAGCTTACCAGGTTGAAAGCAGTGAGCTTACCGGGTTGAAAGCAATGAGCTTACCAGGTTGAAAGCAATGAGCTTACCAGGTTGAAAGCAATGAGCT